GACTTTGAAGCCCCCCAAAATAAAAGTCTCTCACTGTTTCCCTGTCTATTTCCCATGAAGTGATGGGACCGGATGCCATGATCTTAGTTTTCTGAATGTTGAATTTTAAGCCAACTTTTCCACTCTGCTCTTTCACTTTTATCAAGCTCTTTAGTTCTTCGCTTTCTGCCATAAGGGTGGTGTCACCTGCATATCTGAGGTTATTGATATTTCTCTGAGCAATCTTGATTCCAGCTTGTGCTTCATCCAGCCCGGCATTTTGCATGATGTACTCTGCATATAAGTAAAATAAGCAGGATGACAATATACAGCCTTGATGTTCTCCTTTCCTGATTTGGAACCAGTCTATTGTTCCATGTCTGTGTCTAACCGTTGCTTCTTGACCTGCATACAGATTTATCAGGAGGCAAGTAAGGTGGTCTGGTGCTCACATCTCTTGAAGAATTTTCTGCACTTTGTTGTGATCTACACAGAGGTTTTGGCAGAGTCAATAAAGCAGAAGTAGATGTTTTTCTGGAACTCTCTTGCTTTTTCGATGATCCAGTGGATGTTGGCAATTTTATCTCTGGTTCCTCTGCCTTTTCTAAATCCAGCTTGAACATCTGGAAGTTCAGTTCATGGTTCACGTACTGCTGAAGCCTGGCTTGGAGAATTATGAACATTACTTTGCTAGTGTGTGAGATGAGTGCCATTGTGCGGTATTGTGAGCATTCTTTGGAATTGGAATGAAAACAGACCTTTTGTAGTCCTGTGGCCACTGCTAAGTTTTCCACATTTGGCATATTGAGTGCAGCACTTTCACAGCATCATCTTTTAGGATTTGAAATAGCTCAACTGGAACTCCATCACCTTCACTAGCTTTGTTCGTAGTGATGCTTCCTAAGGCCCACTTGACTTTGCATTCCAGGATGTCTGGCTTTAGGTGAGTGATCACACCATTGTGGTTATCTGGGTCATGAAGGCAATTTGAATGGAGTTGTGGGCCATATGTTAGTGACTCAGTCGTGTCCGATTCTGTGCAGTCCCATGAGCTGCAGCCCACTAGGCTCCTCTGTCTATGGGATTTTCCAGGCAAGAATACTGAAGTGCCTTGCCATTCCCTTCTCCAAGGAATCTTCCCGACCTCGGGATCAAACCCAGGTCTCCTGCATTGCAGGCAGGTTCTTTACCACTGAGCCACCAGGGAAGCCCTGTGGGCCATATAATATAGTCTAAAAACACAATTCTTTCGTTCCTGGAATGTCTTCCTACCCTCTTTTGATGTTTTGGATCTCGAGTAGAAGTTCTTATGGGAACCTTTTCCAGCTCTTTTTGTCAGGGACCCCAATTATAGATTGTTACAGAACCATGTAGTTCAATCTTGTGGAACTGGTTTCCTTAAGCTAGAATCTATTCAAACAATGGTAATAAAGGTCCCACATCTCAGCTCTATAGTTTATAACTCTAGTAATTTTTGCCTGAAAACAAACTAAGACAGATATGAAGACTTGCTCCTATCTCTCCCTTAAAAACTTAATCAGTTTCTCGTTTAAGAAGGGAATTGAGCATGTTGTTAGCCTTCTGTCTGTTCCAGTTAAAATGACTAGAGAAATACAAAAGCAATCAATCCATTACAGTGAAGACAAAAAAGGGAGAAAGGTTGGAAGTCAGTGTAGAAAAGGGACAAGGCAAGTGGAAGTGTGTTGATAATGAAGTGGAGTACTGGAGCCCAGAATCCAGAGAAGAAGGAGCTGTGGTGGAGGTGGGGGCTGTCTTTCCTGGCTGAGCCCCAGCATGGCTCTAGGTTGAGAGCTGGTGGTGAGCACGGTGAAATGAGAAAGTCATCCCCTCAACCAACTCTTGTATGCTAACCATCACACACCACCACCCACCCCCTGCCCCGGCACCCTCCTCCACAATAGCTGACAGACTCCTCTTTATATAAACTAGACAAACCACCTGGGGAGAACTAGGATGCTGGCTTTTCTTAGGGAATTCAGAATAATGGCATTGAAAGGGGTGGAGGAGGTGTGGTATCTAACCTAAAGGCTGCTTTCCCACTCTCAGGTAAGGTGTCAATCAACAAGCCTCCCACATACACAGCTCCCCATCCACCTCTCCAGCAAAGAAAACACGCCAGCTACTGGAATGGTCACTGGAGATAATCATTAAACTTTTGACGTATAAGGAAAATCAGAATAAATAAAGACCAAGAACAAGCTGGTCCTCGAGGAAGTAGGTAATTCAGGGAACAGAAAGGAACTTTTAAAACTTGGAGACTGAGAACATTTTTTGCATCCATGAAAATGAGACATGGTACTGTGGAGTTTAAAAAAAATAAGAAGAAGCAAGAATTCTTAGAAATTTAACTGTGTGATTGCTGGGGGGGAAATAGAAGGGCTGGAACACTTGAAATCTTGTGAAATACAGAGGGAAATAGCAGAGATAAAAAATGAAGCAGTATAAAAAATAGCTAACATTTACTAAGTATTTGTGTGTATTTTAACTGATACTAATAGATGGGGAAACAGTGGAAGCATTGTCAGACTTTATTTTTTGGGGCCCCAGAATCACTGCAGATGGTGATTGCAGCCATGAAATTAAAAGATGCTTACTCCTTGGAAGGGAAGTTATGACCAACCTAGATAGCATATTAAAAAGCAGAGACATTACTTTGCCAACAAATGTCTGTCTAGTCAAGGCTATGGTTTTTCCAGTGGTCATGTATGGATGTGAGAGTTGGACTGTGAAGAAAGCTGAACACCGAAAAGTTGATGCTTTTGAACTGTGGTGTTGGAGAAGGCTCCTGAGAGTCCCTTGGACTGCAAGGAGATCCAACCGGTCCATCCTAGAGAAGATCAGTCCTGGGTGTTCATTGGAAGGACTGATGCTGAAGCTGAAACTCCAATACTTTGGCCACCTCATGCGAAGAGTTGGCTCACTGAAAAAGACCCTGATGCTGGGAGGGATTGGGGGCAGGAGGAGAAGGGGATGACAGAGGATGAGATGGTTGGATGGTATCACCGACTCGATGGACATGAGTTTGAGTAAACTCCAGGAGTTGGTGATGGAGAGGGAGGCCTGGCATACTGCGATTCATGGGGTCGCAAAGAGTCGGACACGACTGAGTGACTGAACTGACTGACTGACTGACTGAATCCTCACCAGAGCATTATGAAGAAGATACTGTTTTTCACATTTCTTAACAGAGAGGAGCACAATTGATAACTTGTTTAAAGTCGTGTAGCTAGCAAGTGATGGAACAGATTCAAACTCAAGCGATCTCTTCGTGAGTCCAGGCAAATTAAGAGAGCTCCCACCTGACTGGTCTGAGAGTCTAACACTGAAAGCAGTCAGAAGCCCAAAATGGTGTGTTATGGTAGACAGCTCTTGTGTTTCCTCAGCCTGTTTCCCCATCTTTAAAATGCAGATAGCAGCACCTCCCTTCCTTGTGAGAGGATTAAATGAATTGGCATCCTGTCACATGATAGAGACTCAACAAATGCTAATTTTCCCTCTTTTTTTATTCATCCCTCTACCCCTCACTACAAGAGACATAAGGTTTTTTTTAATTCCGTGCACTCATCACTAAATGGCACGTATTGTTAAGTGAGTATTATGAGGGTGATATAGATGGCTGGCTTGAAAGGTTTTGGAGAAATGTTTGAAAACAGTGTAATCTTGAAAAAGAGCAACCTTCACTTTTGCACCTGAATTGTAAGGGAGTTGCTCAATCGTGTCCGACTCTTTGTGAGCCAATGGAATGTAGCCCACCAGGCTTCTCTGTCCATGGGATTCTCCAGGCAAGAATACTGGAGTGGGTAACCATTCCCTTCTCCAGGGGATCTTCCCGACCTAGGGATCAAACCCAGGTCTCCTGCATTGCAGACAGATTCTTTACCATCTGAGCCACCAGGGAAGGATGGGAGTGAACAGCTTCCACTGGAAGTAGTTGTAAGAATAATGATCTTATTGGATGGGTGCCAGCATTTGGTTAAAGTGGGAAGTTGAGGGATGTAACCAGCTAGAATTTGATCTTGGGCAGTGATTCTGGCCACCAGAATAGAGAAATTGAAAAGCAGAGGGAAGGGACGTGAACTAGAACCTCCTTTCCTCATTCACTCTGTAGTGTTCTGAAAGATATTCATGGGCTTTCAAGTGTTCTAACTCTTAATTTGTATTGCTAAAATAAAATACTTGTTCTCAATGCCTTATTTCTCCAGCACCCTCAGCTGCTCTGAATGTAACTGAGAATTGGGCAGTAAGCGCAAGAGTCTCTGAGGAAGCGCAGAGGAACTAAAATGAATATGCAAAAAAAAATGAATATGCAGTAGCTTCAGTATAATTCAGCAGGAACTGCCCAGGCCTTCTCTGAGATTCTTACCCTCTATGTGCACTTCTAGGAATCTGATTTATCTAGTAACAGGTAGAATCAGCTCCTGAGGTGGTGGGTAAGGTGGTATTGGTTTGATAGTATTTTGAGAGAAAATTGGACCTTTATACCCAAAAGCACATAGCAATATGGGGTCATTTAAGATATCATTAAACTGTTTTATTCTTCTGAACACCCGTACTCTAGTCTTTGGTCATAATGCTAATTCTGGGATAATAAGGAAAGGTTAAAATATGCCCAGAATAAGAAGATACCATCATCAGAAAATATATGGATGTTTTGACATTTAGAGATGTGAACTTAAGCTCTCTGTAAGTTTGCTTAAGTGAACATTTTTTGATGAAGAAGAGAGAAAGCTGCTACGGAGTGCTAAAAAGCCTTTAAAAATTTGCTTGAAGACTTGAAGACCTAATTTTAGTCTTCTCTATAAATGGAGACTGCCTAAGGATTGATTCAGAATAAAATCAGGTGATGTATGTGCAGATAACCCTGGCAAGTCTGATGTGCTTTTCAAGTTATGTTTCACTTTGTTCATTATCTTTTCAAATATTCCTCAGAGACTTAACTCCAATGGATTGCTTGTCTAAAACCCTCCTGACTGTTTCTGCAACTTCCACTTGCTTCCCAGATTTCTGTATTCAGATGAAGTTCAGATCGGCCCAGAAACAGTTATGACCACCCTTTATACGGCTAAGAAGTACGCAGTCCCGGCCTTGGAAGCGCATTGTGTGGAATTTCTCACCAAACATCTCAGGGCAGATAATGCCTTTATGTTACTTACTCAGGTAAGTTGATGTAGCTAAGATATGTATCTTTTAACTTTAAAAATTGGGTTTAACTGTATATGAATATTTAATATTTCCTGGAGAATTAGTCCGAGATCATTATTTTAAAGCATATGAAATCTGATTTCATTGAGGGAAATATATCAGGTTCATATGATTTTAGAATAGAAAAACAAATTATAGAGTTAATGTATCATATAGGTGAAGAAACTGAAGAAAGTGTTAGTCACTCAGTCGTGTCCAACTCTTTGAGACCCCACGGACTGTAGTCCGTCAGGCTCCTCTGTCCGTGGAATTCTCCAGGCAAGTATCCTAGAGTGGGCTGCCATTCCCTTCTGCAGGGGATCTTCCTGACCCAACGATCAAACCCAGGTCTCCTGCATTGCAGGAATCGCAGGCAGGTTCTTTACTGTCTGAGCCAAGCCTTATGTAAATAGGGTGTTTCATCTCTGTAAAATTATATAGCTCTATAGGATTGGAGTTGAGATTAGTGTCCAGTGTTGTTTCTGCTGTGATTGAGAGTATAAGAGTATGAAGCCTTCTGAACCTTAGTGCTCTATTTTTGTTGGATCTGAAATTAACATTGAGTATTTCAAGTCCAGAGCAGTTGTAAGATTTATTGTATTCTGTCAGCTTGGTGACCTGCTTCTGGAGGGTTTAGAATTTATTTTTATTTTTGAACACCAAAAACATTTTGTAACTGCGGTATAGCCAGTTAACAATGTTGTGATACTTTCAGGTGAACAGTGAAGGGACTCGGCTGTAGGATATACATGTATACATTCTCCCCAAACTCCCCTCCCATCCACATTGGCATGTAACATTGAGCAGAGTTCAGTGTGCTATATAATAGGTTTTTTTTGGTTATCCATTTTTAATATAGCAGTGTGTACATGCCTTTTCCAAAGTCCTTAACTGTACCTTCCCCCCCAGCAACCATGAGTTCATTTTCTAAATCTTTCTGTGAGTCTCTCTGTTTTGAAAGTAAGTTCATTTATATCATTTCTTTTTTGATTCTACATGTAAGGGATGTCCTATGATATTTTGGAGAAGTTCAAATTTAAGAATATTCTTTCTTTGACTCATGAAAGTTTTCAACGAGTATATAAATACAGAAAAGTGCACACGTCATACATGTATAGTCTGAATGTTTGCATACTGAACACATTTATGGAACCATTAACCAGTCCTCAACATACACTATTTAGCACTTGTTAAATGCCTGTAGTCTGAGCTTCATACTCAAGATATAAGTAAATCGATGTTTTTCTTCTTAGACAATGTAATGATACCCTTTTACGAATTGTTTAAAAAAATCCTGAGCTAGTCTGTAACTCATTGCCAGGGGGTGAATTGTGTCCCCAGAATTCACGTGTTGAAATTTTAATCCCCAGGACCCTCAGAATGTGACCTTACTTGGAGATAGGGTCTTTACAGAGGTGAGAAAGTTAAAATGAGAGGGGGGGAAATGTCTAAGCTGATAATATGTAATCCTGCTGAATATTAGTAGTGGAAATAATCATGGATATTCCTTAGCTTAACCCTCTCATTTTTCAAATGAAAAAACTAAAACCTGGCAAGTTAACTACCTGCCCAAAGTCTCACAACAGGCTGGGTGGAGTCACACTTGTTTTCCATTGTGCATCCATTCTGTCACATCACAAATGATTGATGCTACTTTTTTTTTTTTAAATATCTGGTCATTGAGTATTTATAGTTACAGAAGAAAGAACATGCTGATGTCACCTCTTCTTGGACATAATCACAGAACTCCATGTCTGTGTGTATTGTATGCCAGACACAGGCTATTCCATTTGTATATATTATCACATTTACTCCTTTAAGCTGTGATGTTATTTATTATTATTATTATCCTCCTTTCAAAGATGAAATGGAAGCTTAATGAGGTAAATATCTTACGTAACGTAAGATAGCAACTGATAAAAGGTCTCAACCTTAAACCAGTAGAGTATAGTGATATTGATAATAACTGCAAAATGTATTGAATGACTTAGTGTGTGCCAGGTCCCATTCTAAATACTTAGTATGCATTAATTCATTTAATCTTTACAATAACTTCAGGAGTTGTAGCTATCCTCAATGAAGATTTTCTTATCATCCCCTTTTTATATAGAAGCACAGAGAGGTGAAATAACTCAATAAAGATTATATAACTAACAAGTGATATCTGTTGTTCAGTTGCTAAGTCATGTCCGACTCTTTTGTGACCCCATGGAGTGAAGCCCACCAGGCTTCTCTGTCCATGGGATTTCCCAGGCAAGAATACTGGAGTGGGTTGCCATTTCCTTCTCCAAGGGATCTTCCTGACCTGGGAATCAAACCTGCATCTCCTGCATTGGCAGGTAGATTCTTTACCACTTGCATTTTTTTTTCCCCTTTTCTGAACTTGTGAGGAAGATCTAATAAAGAAGTTGATTATCATGATTCTTTGTTGTGTGAAGAATTTTATTGTGTGTGAAAAGGTTCACTTAACTACTTTCATTTTTTAAAATTCAGTCATAAAATTCAGAAACCAGTAGGACTTTCCTAGCTGTCCAGTGGTTAAGACGCCGAGCTTCCACTGCAGGGGGCTTGGGTCAGACAGATCCCTGGTTGGGAAACTAGGATCCCATGTGCTACACTATGTGGTCAAAAAAAGAAAAATTAGAAGCCAATAAATTAAACTTTGACAGTGAAAATCCACTTTATAGTTCAGTAAGCCAAAGTCAGCTGTATACTCTTGCTCAACATACTTTCTTTTGCTTACCATTAAGTCTCTGGGATTCATTCCTTTTGTTGTAGATCTACACACAGCAATATGGGCCTGAAAGTCTGCATTTCTAACAGACTTTCAGATGATGCTGGTGCTTCAGAACCACATTTTGAGTAGCAAGGCGTAACATATGTCACTGAGGAAAAAAGGAACTTTTCAGTGCTTTGTTGGTCTAAAAACTCAACATCAATTCAGATTTTTCTTTAGTGGGGTCATGTGAATTAGCCCACGAATTGTCATGTGAATGTCTTGTTCCTGCCAAGTGAATCATTTGAACTGAGCATGTTCATTTACTTGAGAGGACCTATGCCAGCGTCCCTCTAAAACAAAGAACCAGTGTGCTGTCCCAGCATGGATTACATAAGGAAAACACTCTGGGGCAATACAGTCATTAAAAATAGTGTCACACTCAAATTTAGAGAAAATTAATTTTACTCCTAAGTAGCAGCAGTAGATTCCCAGGCAAATATGATATCGTATTGAATGACTGAAAATGCTGCTACTCTGAATAAGATAACTTTTACCAAAAATTATTTTTCCTAAAAGTAAAATAATCCATTTTTCTGCATAAATACTAACTCAGCTATAAACACTGAGTTGGCCAGCTAAAATATCTGCCAACATTAGAATTTTACTTACTTTTAAGCTTGTTTTTTTGAATTATAATGTACATCCTGATAAAGCACATGTTATAAGTTTGACTTCTGACTTCTTAAAGCTCAGCTTTGGTGAAATCATATAGCAGTTGACTCTTGACCAACATGGCCCTGAACTTAGTGGGTCCACTTATACATGTAATTTTTTCGGTACTAAATAGTACATGATTTGTGGTTGATTGAATCCGTGGATATGGAAGAGCCTCAGATGCAAAGGTCCAACTGTAAGTTCTGTGTGGATTTTCAGCTGCACAGAGGTCAGTGCCCCCAACCTGCAAGTTGTTCAAGGGTCAGCTGTATACTCTTTTGCTGAACATATACAGTACTTCCTTATGCCTACCATTAAGTTTGTGGGATTCATTCCTATTGCTGTGTGTAGTTGTAGATCATTCATTCTCATTGTATAATATTCTGTCATGTGAATTTACTTATTTGCTTTTCTGTTGTTAGGCCTGGTTTTTGCTTAGGTTCCCAGAACTTTAATGCTGTAAAACTTTTGTACTTTATTCTCTTCCCCCCAGTCAAACAGGAAATGGGGGGAAAAATCTGTTTGTTCTGGTATGCTTAACAATTGATGCTATCATTTAGTGAAAAGATCCTAAGACTGGGATTTAAGGGCTGGCTTCTCCTGTGGCTCAGCTGGTTAAGAATCTGCCTGCAATGCCGGCAACCTGGATTCAGTCCCTGGGTTGGGAAGATCCCCTGGAGAAGGGAAAGGCTACCCACTCCAGTATTCTGGCCTGGAGAATTCCATGGACTGTATAGTCCATGGGGTCGCAAAGAGTCAGGCACAACTGAGCGATTTTCACTTTCACTTTGGAATATAGCTGGCTAGAGTCAGTGCACCTCCCTGAGCCTCTCTTTTCTCATCTGTATAATGGGAAGATGTCTGCCTTATCTACCCTAGAGTGTTTCATTAAGGATCAAAATATGTAATATATAAGTGCATATATATGCATATAAAAATAAAAATAACAGAGTTGTTAGTGGTAATTGAATTAATTGTTATTTTTTGGACATTTGTGCTTTTCGCTTTTATTTCTGATTGTGGAATGAAAAGCTTTACGCATATTATAATTTATTTTAAGCATGAGTTTTTATAAAATTGGCAGTTATAACTGTTTACAGTGTTACCTTTGAATATGGACAGCCTGAAGTTAGAATAACTGTGAAAATAAAATAACTATCTTTTTATATATTTAGGCTCGTTTATTTGATGAACCTCAGCTTGCTAGTCTTTGTCTAGACACAATAGACAAAAACACAATGGATGCAATAAGTGCAGAAGGGTTTACTGATATTGACATAGGTAAGTTTACTGTGAATTAAAATGTTACCTTTTAAGTACAGTAATGCGTTGACCTAGTGAGCCTTGTTGGCAGAGGAGCTGTTTTTAAATCAGTGGTTTTTCCAGGTGATTTTAAGTCTCCCTCTTTAAGAGTTTTGCTTTCTTTATTTTGCTGAAATAGCCCTAAAAGTCTTAACTACCTCATTGCCTTTTAAAAGATATCAAACAAATTTTCATGCTTACCATATGCATAGCATTATATTAGGGCTCTACAAGAAATACAAAGAAGGGTAAGATTTTATTTATTTTTTTTCTTTAGGAAACTGTCATCTGTTTGGAGAACCAGGGAAGAAATATGTGAAAATTAAGATTAAGACATTACATAGAAAAGATGACATATGGCAAAATGTCTTTTCGCCTTTTCAGAATTAGATACATAGAAAATAATTACTATGCAAATCCAAAATGTGGAGAGAGCTCCTCATAATGGGATGTTAGGAGAATCTTGGCACAGGAAGTTCTGACATAGGCCTTAGGGAATGGATAGTATTTGAGTAATGAAGAGGGGAAGGCATTAGGCAGGTAGAACCACATGAAGAAAGCGTGTGTAAAGCAAGTGAAATCCAGGGTGTGGGGGCCATGCAGTCACAGGCTCAGGAGCTTGAATTTTGTCATGTAGGGGAGCAGAAAGAGCGGATCCAGCCTGTAACTCTAAATATCATCATCATCTAGTAAGCCCAAAATATCTTATATCTTATTCTGGGCTCCAAATTTGTGTAGCCAACTATTTACTTGACATCTTCGTTTGGAGCTCTTATAGGCATTTCCAGTAGCACAGGTAAAAGAAAGCCATTGATTGTCCCATACCCCCCCGTTATCTTTTCTGTTCCTTTTCAGTTGTTTTTTTTTTTAACTCTTCCTTAATGGCGCCACCATGCATAACTAAAAACCTAGAAGTTATTTTTAACTATCCTCTTTCATACCCCACATGCAGTTTATCAGCATATGTTCTCTGCTCTCCAGTCAAAATGCATGCTGGGGGAATTACTGGTGATCCAATGGCTAGGAGTTGGTGCTTTCGTTGCTGGGCCCAGCTTCGGTCCCTGGTCGGAGAACTAAAATATGACAAGCTGTATGGTGCAGCCCACCCCCCACCCCCTAAAAAATAGTATCCTTAGTTATGACTATGTCTTACTTTGCCTGTTGCTCCCACCTGGTCTGGGTCACTGTTCTCATTCACCTGGATAAGCTTTGTGTGCTCCTGTTGTCTCCCTGCTGCCACTCACTTGTTTTTTTTTTTTACTCTATTTTTATTTTTTATTGGACTATAATTGCTTTACAATGTTGTATTGGTTTCTACCATATGACATTGTGAATCAGCTATCTGTGTGTGTGTGTGTGTGTACCCTCCCTCTTGTGCCTACCCCCCATCCCACCCCTTTAGGTCATCACAGAGCACCTAGCTGTGCTCCCTGGGCAATACAGCATCTTCCTACTGGCTGTCTGTTTTGCATATGATAAGGTGTATGTTTCAATGCTACTCTTTCAATTCATCCCACCCTCTCCTTCCCCTGTTGTGTCCACGGTTCCGTTCTTCACATCTGTCCTATTCCCGCCCTGCAGATAGGTTCATCAATACCATTTTTCTAGATTCCATATATATACATTAATGTATGAATATTTCTTTTTCTCTTTCTGACTTATTTCGCTCTGTATAACAGGCTCTAGGTTCATCCATCTTAGATCAACTGACTCAAGTTTCTTCCTTTTTATGGCTGAGCAATATTCCATTGTATATGTGTACTGCAACTTCTTTACCATTCATCTGTCAGTGGACATCTAGGTTGCATTCCGTGTCCTGACTTTTATAAATAGTGCTGCAGTGAACATTGGGGTACAGGTGTATTTCTGAATTATGGTTTTCTTATGGTATATGCCCAGTAGTAGGATTGCTAGGTCATGTTGTTCAGTCGCTTAGTTGTGTCCAACTGTGACCCAGTGAATTGCAGCACACTAGGCTTCCTGTCCTTCACTGTCTCTTGGAGTTTGCTCAGACTCATGTCCATTGAGTCAGTGATGCCATCCAACCACCTCATCCTCTGTCACCCCCTTTTCCTCCTGCCCCTCCGTCTCTCCCAGTATCAGGGTCTTTTCCAGTGAGTTGGCTCTTCACATCAAGTGGCCAAAGTATTGGAGCTTCAGCATCAGTTCTTCCAGGGTTGAATATTCAGGGTTGATTTTCTTTAGGATTGACTGGTTTGATCTCCTTGCTATTCAAGGGACTTTGAAGAATCTTCTCCAGCTGGGTCATATGGTAGTTTTATTCCTAGTTTTTAAAGGAATCTCCATACTGTTCTCCATAGTGGCTGTATCAATTTACATTCCCACCAGTAATGCAAGAGTGTTCCCTTTTCTCCACACCCTCTCCAGCATTTATTGTTTGTAGATTTTTTGATGATGGTCATTCTGACCAGTGTGAGGTGATACCTCATTATGGTTTTGATTTGCATTTGTCTAATAATGAGCAATGTTGGACATCTTTTTGTGTGTTTGTTGGCCATCTGTATGTCTTTGGAGAAATGTCTGTTGATGTTTTCTGCCCATTTTTTGATTGGGTTGTTTGTGTTTCTGATATTGAGCTGCAAGAGCTGCTTAAAGTTGGGGGATTAATCCTCTGTCTGTTGCTTCATTTGCAGTTATTTTCTCCCATCCTGGGGGTTGTCTTCTCATCTTGTCCACTCACTCTTGCTTTCATCCTGTCCATTCTCTCCACAGCAGCAAATTGTATCACTTCCTTGGCTTCCAGTGTCTTCCCACTGCAATTAGAGTAAGATTCAAATCACTTACAAAACTTACAAGATCCTACATGATTAGGCCTCTTATTAGGGTAGGCTCCGCTTGGCATGATGTTGATAACAGATATACCCCAAAATGCAAGCTCAACACATTTGCACAGATAAACCCCCAAATGCATACTGACTCCAACACAAAGAAATTGATTTCACACACACACAGCAGTCCAAAGCAGTATCTTTGGCGTGTGATTAGCTTTCTGCTACTTCCTATGGCTGAGTTATTATCTGTACCTTGATGACAGATGTGAAAACACCCACATTTTATGAGCTTTGGCCTTGAAATGGCACCCTCGTTTTGGCTGTTACTTCACTGGACAGAATTCAGTCACCAGACCCCTTCTAACTTCAGGGGAGGCAAGGAGATGCAGATGATTCACATCCCAGGAAGAAGAGAAAACAGAAGTTTTCTAAAGAGTTGGCAGTCATTACTTACCTCTCTCTCTCACCTGTCCCCTGCCATTCTGTTCCTCATTCGCTGTGTTCCATATACACTGGCCACAGTTACTTTGATTTTTTGAGCCTTTGTATTTGCTATTCCTTTTGATTGGAATCCTTTTCCCCACTCTAAATCTTTGTATTATTGTTCAATCACTCAGTCATGTCTTACTCTGCAACCCCACGGACTGCAGCATGCCGGGCTTCCCTGTCCTTCACTATCTCCCAAAGTTTGCTCAGACTCATGTTCATTGAATAAGTGATGCCATCCAACCATCTCATCCCCTCTTGCCCCCTTCTCCTCATACCCTCAATCTTTCCCAGCATTAGGGTCTTTTCTAATGACCCTTGGCTCTTTGCATCAGATGACCAAAGTATTGGAGCTTCTTTGTATGGCTACCTCTTTTTAATCATTCAGATCTTAGGTTAAAGGTTACCTGAGATGTGCCATCTCACACCTACTTAAAGTAGATACCACATTCCCCTAAACAATCCCTGTTCCATTACTCGGATTTCTTTTTCTCTTAATGTGTATCACTCTCTGAATATCTTGTCTGGGTCTTTGTTTCTGTATATGTTGATTGTCGACCTTCCCCTTCTAGATTGTAAACTTCTTAAACTCTAAACTCCTTTGTCTTGTTTACCACTGTACCTCCAACACTGAAAGCAGTAGAACACAATACGTGTTCAGTTAATATTTGTTAGATTAATTGCCTGTGTCTAGAATGTTGCCTTTCCTTCCCATCTTGGCTGGTTCTTACTCAGTCTTCATGTCTTGGCTCAGATTATATCTCTGCAGAGACTCCTTTCTTAAAAGCTGCTACCCTCCCCCTTCCATGAAATTTAATATATTCCTGTTTACAGTAACATCTCTGTCTTGGTTTGCCTGTCTGTTGCTTATTATCATGGGAAGGATTTATACTCTTCCTACGTTATCCTGAAGGGCAGGCACTACATTAGGTTCCTCCCCAACACCTGCACATTGTGTGCTCCTGAGTTTTTGTTGAGTTACTGGATGTTTGAGAGCCCTGAGCACTCCACCCATTAGCAAGGAAGCATGGCTCAATCCCAGTTTCTTTGCTTTGAAGGGGCGTCAGGTGCTCCACTTCAGTCCACTCTCATGTGAAATAATGCTGCCGACATCAGGGTGACTCACTCCAAGAAGCTGTTTTGTAAATAGCTTGTACATTAGTCATGCCATTGGGTCCTGGAAGTCTTGAAGTAGGCTCCTTGCACAGGATGAAAACCCCATAAATATTTGTTGATTAAATTTGACTCACAGTGGTTTAGATTAAACCCAGTATTGTATTATGTATATAAATATAATCTTATGTGCTTTCATGATCTTTATTAGGCTCTCAGCTGTCATTTCTTATTAGAACACATCTGTCAATAGAAGACCTATGTGTTCTCACCTCATAGTCTAGTTTGCCTCAAGTGTACTTGTTAAGACTTGGGAATGAAAGAACAGTCTAGGAGCTGAGAGGAAGCAAGCCCTGGCTTCAGGAGCTTTTTTTCAAAATAGCTGTTTTACATTCTGGGGGTGCTTTTTCTCCTCTGGTGTTTGAATACGTGCTCTAGAGGGATATGCTTACCTTTTTACAAGTAGTGAGATACTGTTTCTCTCACAGCATTCTGTCAAAGGAAAAAGATAATATATCCTTTGATAGAATAGAATCAATTTACATTATGCCATGGGCAGTATAATGTGCCTTTTTTTTTTTAAGTCTTTAAGTTTCTCTGTTTATCTTTACTGCAGTTACTAGCATACAAGGTAGAGACATATATGTTGGAAGTTGTCTGTTTTTCTATTCAATGATTAAATATTATGGTAATGATGTCTTCCTAATTCTATAACTATTGAGGTATATTGATTTACATTCATTTTCTGGGTATTCCTGGGGCCTTAGTTTATACACATCGACTCAGCTGTTAGAGAAGAAAAAAGCTTGAGTTTTTAAAAATCAAAAGGTTATGCTTAACCTTTTCATTTTTAACATACTGTTGAGCCCCTTCTGTGTTCTAGGGACTGTGACGTCTTTGCTGGAATGATACTTGTGTTTGTTATTAAACCAATATTTGGTTCTGGTATGAATGTACAGGCCACTGCAGAATAAAATTTTGTTTTTAACAAATTTTTCTGAGGTGTGTGTTTCTGGCCAATTTAATTGTATTTTAATGTTTTCATTGATTTCTACAATATAGCATCCTCATTTTTATTGAAATTTAACTTAAAATACAATTGTTAGATATTTTATAATAGTGCCTACTATATTGAGGTTCTTTAGAAAATAAGGTTCTCTAATTTTTCTGTACATCTTGAACAGTCTTTTTTTTTAAAAGAAACAACGCTGTCATTTTGGCCATTTGAGAAAGATACCTAAAAAATGTTTTGTTTTGCTTGTCCTTATTAAACAGTGCATACTATAATTTAGGATTCTTCTGGTTATTAGTACTCAGTATTATCAATATCAGTTATTGTAAACTGAAGCCGTTAGGTCTCTGAAGTTTTTTTTAACATCTCTTTCTCTTTGTGTAAAAGACTCCACACCATCCTTTTCAAGTACTTCTGTCTACTTTTCAGTTTTCCTCTCTTCTTGTCCCTGTTAGATTGCAGCATGTCATCTCGTGTTAACATGTTAGCCTCTAAAACCCTTTTCTCTGAACTTACTGCTTCTGTAAGTCTACTGTAGCTTAAAAATAACTCAGCCTATTTTAATTTTGCCCATGATAAGAGGAAAAGGATTCTGAGTGAGGGCCTGAGTTACTGTCATGACATTTATACTCAGATGTCAAATAGGGCTTCAAACTTAGTATGTCCAAAATTAAACTTCAGCCTCTCACCACTTCCTCTCCCCACCCCACTTCTGCATAGTTGCTGTCATCTCAGTTGGTGCCACTGTCAGCCCACCATTGCTTACCATTAACCTGAGAGTTACCCTGGACTTAGGCTTCCTGTCACCCCTTTATCCAATCTGTTAGGAAGTCTCCTGTCTCCTTTCAGAATATACCCTGAATCTTGTCATTTTTCACCACTTCTGCCTGGTCCAAGCCACCATCACCTCTCACCTGGAACCCCACAAGAACCTCCCTACTGATAGTGTTTCCACTCTTGCCTCTGTTACCATCTCTCTTCTCATCACAGCTTCCAGTGTGGTCCTTAGAGAGCATAAAATATCACAGCTCAATACCCTCCAGGGGTTCTCTTTTTCACTCAAAAGCCAAATGATCTGCAGGGTGCCTTATGAATGCATCCTGCTTCCCCCGTATTCTAGCTTCCTCACCTCCTACTTTCCCCTCTTGCTCACTCACTTCCTGCCACACTGGCCTCCTGGTTCTTCCTCAGACACGCCAGGCACACCCTCGTTAAGAGACCCTTCACACTGGCTGGTCCTGGAGTGCTGCTTCTCGAGATGTCTGTCTGGCCTACCAACCCTGACCCAAAGCCTCCTTCAGATCTTAGTTCAAGTGAGGCTGATCCAAACCATCCTGTTTTAAGCTGCATTTCTGATTATTCCACTTACCCTGCTATTTTTTCCTACATTTATTATGTGACACATTATAACTTACTTATGTTTATTTAATGTTTCCCCCATTAGAATGTAAGCTCCATGAAGGAAAGAATTTTTAAACCTTTTTGTTTAATGATGTATCCTTGGTGTCTAAAATAGTACCTGACACATTGTGAGGGGTTAATCAGAAATATTTGCTGAATGAATGAATTAACTGTAATCTGTAGACTTGATGAATTTGTTCATTACTGATTGGGAGCCTTTTTCTCTAACTTATTATTCTTATCCTGGATATTTGAGTTTGCTTGTAAATGGCATGAAATATATAAGAAGATACTGTATGTAGGCTTTCATGTATGATAATAAGTTCAATATAAACCTTATAATTTTTTAAAGAATTCTTTGCAGTTCCTTTAATAATTTAATATTTTTAAATGTAGAATCTATAGCTTTAAGTAACCTATTTTTTATTGAGAGTTGAAATTTTAATATAAGCATATTTGTCAGTATTTTGTTAAATAGAAAAATATTCTTAATTTGACTTATTTTTGTAAATTACCTGTAGACACACTCTGTGCAGTCCTAGAAAGAGACACTCTTAGTATTAGAGAATGTCGACTTTTTGGAGCTGTTGTACGATGGGCAGAAGCAGAATGTCAAAGACAACAATTGCCTATGACCTTTGGAAACAAGCAGAAAGTCCTGGGGAAAGCACTGTCCTTGATCCGCTTCCCACTGATGACCATTGAGGAGTTTGCGGCAGGTAAGGCTATAACCTGTCCAAAATCTACTTGAAACTGTTGCAATGGGCAGTCAGTCTCCCTGTGCAAGGGAGAAAAACAAGCTATTTATGTATGTACATTTGTGTGTGTAATTTCCTCCAGTTCTCCTGATAGCCCTTGAAGATAATATTGTAGGTTATATACATACTTACATTTTTAAAATTATATATTTTGTATCTTTTAAAAATATTATAGATACATAGAAGTTATATGGTATCTTACAGGTTTAAGAATGGAACCTGGGAAAAAAAAAAGAATGGAACCTGGGAGGGGTTAAGCACCTTACCCAGAGTTACAATGACAGATCTTTCTGACTCTTAGAGTTGATGCTTCTTAGTTCTATGACCAGTTCTTATTTCCCCTATCAACACTGAGTATATTCTGCTTCTTAGTCATGGCAGGATTGATTTAAAAGAAAAAAATCTCGTAATTGTTTACAGTTACACTTCTTTATGTTTATTGGACATTTGTATTTTTTTCTTAACATTCATGACTTTTATTTTATTGAGGTATTCACGTTTTTCTTATTATGTTCCTGTATTCTCCCGTTGTTTTTGCTGGTTGAAATCACTTGTTTTTTTCTTTCTGTAAATTGTTTTTAACATCTACATAGTAAAGTGGATAAATACTGTGAACACACCTATGTAACCACACATACCACTTTATAGTACATTATCATTTCCCTCCAGTCTCCATCATGCATGTCTCTCCTAGCCTTTTGTCTCCCTCCCAAAGGTGACTACTTTGTGGCTTCTATAAATGAGTTTTGTCTGTTTTTTTTTTTTTTTTGTGTGTGTGTGTTTTTAAACTTACTATAAAGGAAGCCATGCATTCAGCATGTATTCTTTTGTGTGTGGCTTCTTTCTCTTGACACTATGTCTATTAGATTCATCTACGTGGCTGTGTATGGCACAACCACACACTTTTTCATTGCTACATAATCTGTATGGATGAACCATGATTTATTTATCCACTTTACTGTTGGACATTTGTGTTGTTTCTATATGGGACCATTGAGAACATTCTTATACCTGTGGCTTGGTGTCTATATGTGAACATTTCTATTGAGTATGAGCAGTACAGTTGCAAAGTTGCAGAGTGTACATATGTTAGCATTGGTAGGTCCTACCAAACAGTGGCCCAAAGTAGTTGTAAGAGTTCACAGTCAGATACCAAACTTAGTCAAGAGTTCATTCCAGTTGCCTCATATCCTCTCCATTATATGTATATAATCTGACAGAAGACTTGTATCCAGAATATGTTAGACACATATATAATGTGTGTATAAACAGCTAATATTCCCCAGTCTGTGAATTGTCTTTTCATTATCTTAATGCTGTCTTTTTATAAATAGAAGATCTTAATTTTAATGAATTAATTTATCAATCTTTTTGTTTAAGGTGAAGACTTTTTATGTCTTCCTTAAGAAATTTTACCTGCCTCAAGGTGATAAAAGATATTCTCTTAGATATTCTTCTAGAAAGTTTATTGTTTTACATTTAACTTTTCAGTCTGTAATCCAGTTGGGGTTTTGTTTTTTGTGTTTTTTTTTCCCACACGTGTGTGGTGTAAGGTTAGGGGTCAAGATTCATTTTTTTCCCATGTGACTGTATATTAAAAACTACCCTTGCCCCCCTGCCCAGCAGTGCTGAAGTGAAAGTATTAGTTGCTCAGTCAAGTCTGGCTCTTTGCAACCCCATGGACTTTAGCCCTCCAGGTTCCTCTGTCCATGGAATTTTCCAGGCAAGAATACTGGAATGGGTTGCCATTTCCTCCTCCAGGGGATCTTCCTGACCCAGGGATCAAACCTACGTCTCCCACATTGCAGGCTGATTCTTTGTCATCTGAGCCAGCAACAATGATAGTGAAAGTGAAACTTGCTCAGTGTCTGACTCTTTATGACCCCATGGAATAATTCTCCAGGCCAGAATACTGGACTTTCCCTTCTCCAGGGGATCTTTCCAACCCAGAGATCGAACCCAGGTCTCCTGCATTGCAGGTGGATTCTCTACTAGCTGAGCCACAAGGGAAGCCCAAGAATACTGGAGTGGGTAACCTATCCCTTCTCCAGTGGATATTCCCGACCCAGGAATCAATCTGGGATCTCCTGCGTTGCAGGCAGATTCTCACCACCCAAGCTACAGCAGTGCTAACTTTTGTAAAGCAACTCGCCGTAAATGAATGAGTCTGTTTCTGTAATGTTTATTCCACTCTGCTGTTGTATTGTTTATACTTGAACCAAATCTGTGGAGTTTTCATTTCTGTAGTTTTAAAGTGAATCTTGAAATCTGATAGTGAAAATCCTCTAGCTTTGTTCTTCTGGATTGTCTTCGCTATTCTTGGTCTTAAGTATTTTCATATAAATGTTTTAAGCAGCTTGTTAGTTTCCACCCAAAAAAAGTCATGGGTTTCTGATTGGAATTACATAGAATCCATTGATTGGTGTGGGGATAATTGATATTTTTATGATACTCTTGTTTTCTAATCCATAAACTTTAAGTCTTTAAAAATTTCTCTTGGTAGTATTAATATTTTGAGTTTTCTGGTAGCAGTCTTGCATATATTTTGGTAGGCTTATTCTGTACATATTTGACTTGCTAAATGTTATTACAGTGATTGGTTTTTTAATTTTCATGTCATAATTAATTGTTTGCCAATAGAAATGCAGTTGGTTTTCCTGTATTGACTTTGTATCTAGGGACCTTGCTAAATCCACAAATTCTAATAATTCATTTGTGGTTCATTGTACATAGTCTACATGTACACTTATGTGATCTGCAAACAAAGATAATTCTGTCTCTTCCCTTCTAATCCTTAAACATTTCTTTTCTTGCCTTAGTGTATGACTTACAAGTTTGAGCATGCTAAGAGGTATGAATAAGTGAATATCTTGTATTATTTCATCTTAGGCAGAAAGTTTTCACTATTTCCCAACAGAGGAATTTATGCTTGCTGTAAAATTTTTTTTAGATAGCCTTTATTGGATTAAGAAAGTTTCCTTCTATTACTGCTCTGCTAAGAGTTCGACTGTGTGGATCACAATAAACTGTGGAAAATTCTGAAAGAGATGGGAATACCAGACCACCTGACCTGCCTCTTGAGAAACCTGTATGCAGGTCAGGAAGCAACAGTTAGAAGTGGACATGGAACAACAGACTGGTTCCAAATAGGAAAAGGAGTACATCAAGGCTGTATATTGTCACCCTGTTTATTTAACTTATATGCAGAGTACATCATGAAAAACACTGGGCTGGAAGAAGCACAAGCTGGAATCAAGATTGCCGGAAGAAATATCAATAACCTCAGATATGCAGATGACACCACCCTTATGGCAGAAAGTGAAGAAGAACTAAAGAGCCTCTTGATGAAAGTGAAAGAGGAGCGTGAAAAAGTTGGCTTAAAGCTCAACATTCAGAAAACTAAGATCATGGCATCTGGTCCCATCACTTACTGGGAAATAATGGGGAGACAGTGGAAACAGTGTCAGACTTTATTTTGGGGGGCTTCAAAATCACTGCAGATGGTGACTGCAGCCTTGAAATTAAAAGATGCTTACTCCTTGGAAGGGAAGTTATGACCAACCTAGATAGCATATTAAAAACAGAGACATTACTTTGCCAACAAAGGTCCATCTGGTCAAGGCTATGGTTTTTCCATTGGTCATGTATGGATATGAGAGTTTGACTGTGAGGAAAGCTGAGCGCCAAAAAATTGATGCTTTTGAACTGTGGTGTTGGAAAGACTCTTGAGAGTCCCTTGGACTGCAAGGATATCTAACCAGTCCATCCTAAAGGAGATCAGTCCTGGGTGTTCATTGGAAGGACTGATGCTGAAGCTGAAACTCCAGTACTTTGGCCACCTCATGCGAAGAGTTGACTCATTGGAAAAGACCCTGATGCCGGGAGGGATTGGGGGCAGGAGGAGAAGGGGACGACAGAGGATGAGATGGATGGCATCAGCGACTTGATGGGCATGAGTTTGAGTAAACTCCGGGAGTTTGTGATGGACAGGGAGGCCTGGTGTGCTGCGATTCATGGGGTTGCAGAACTGAACTGAAGAGTTTTATCGTGAATTTTATCAAATGTTTCTCCTCTGTTGAGATAGTGATGCAGTTTTCACCTTTAATTTTCTTAATATGCATTGTTTGATTTTCCAAGTTAAACCTTTGGATTCCTTACATAAACCAGACTTGGTTGTCATGCATTATTCTTTTTGTATATTACTAAATCCTCTTTACCAAATTTAAAAAATATTTTTAAGACTGCTTCATGAGAGAAATTAGTCTATAATTTTCCTTTCTTGTAATGAAATTATCAGATTTTTTATTATCAAGTTTATCCTGGACTTAGAATAACTTAGGATAAACAAAACTTAGGAATATTTCTTTCTTTTTTCAGTATTCAAAAGTTTATATAAAATTGGTGCTGTTTTTCCTTAAATGTTTAGAGGAACTCATCAGTGAAGTTATCTGGATCTAGTGTTTTCTTTGTGGAAGTATTTTAATTAGAGATTCAATCTCTTGAATAGAGTAGGACTTTTCAGGTTTCCTCTTTTTGTAACAGTTTCATCTAGACCTTTAGTTTATTATTATTATTATTTTTAGTTCTACCAGTTTATTGCTACCAATCCATCTCCCTCCACCCTCGTGCACACATGCTCAGTCATGTAACCCCATGGACTGTAGCCCTCCAGGCTCCTCTGTCCATGGACTTTTCCAGGCAAGAATACTGGAGTGGGTTGCCATTTCCTTCTCCATAGACCTTTAATTTATTAATGTGAATTTAATAATATCCTTTTATTATCTGTGAAATCTAAATTATGTCCCCTATTTCATTTCTGATACTGATTTATTGTGCCTTTAATGAGCCTTGCCTAGGAGTTTATCCACTTTGTTGTTAATTTTTTCCAAGAACTGATTTCTGGCTTTATTAATTTTCTTTATTGTATATATGTTCTCCATTTCACTGATTTCTGCTTTTTTCTTTATTATTTCCTTTAATTTTAATTTGCTGGGGATTATTTACTTAGTCATTATGACTTTTTGAGATATACTCAAAACAGTGACTTTCAGCTTTATTCTTTTCATGTCTAGTTTTCTGTCTAAACATCCATTTTCCCCCCAGAAATTTTGATATGTTGTATTTTCATTGCCATTAAATACAAATTATTTTCTAGTTTTCTTGGTAATTTTTTTCTTGCTCCAAGGGCTATAAATACATAGCTTAATTTTCAAATATTTGGGCATTTTTCTTCCCAACATTAAGACAGAAATTTCCGTTTAACTGTTTTATCTCTTAGCAGCTCCTTTCTGCTTGGTTTCTTGGTGTCTTGTTTTTTCTTGCTTGTGTGTAGCTTAGGAATTGACTAATACTTCAAGGAGAAGTGATGCACAAGATGTTGATCTTGTTTGTCTATTAAGTATTCTCTTTCAGATCATTGTCTGGCTGCCTTGGTGGTTTTTTGTCTCTTCAGTTGAGTGAGGACTACCACAGTTTCTAGATTGCCCGTTTCTGTGTGACATTAAAACTCTATGAAGCAGATCAGCAAATATTCCAAGGAGAATGTGATGACAAATATAGGGCTTAATCTCCCTTCTGAAACACTGTCTCAGTTGTTCATTGTTAATGTGAAATAACTGTTTTATGTACTGTTTCATCTATAGTTCTCCAGGCAAGAACACTGGAGTGGGTAGCCATTCCCTTCTCCAGGGGATCTTCCCAACCCAGGGATTAAACCTGGGTCTCCTGCATTGCAGTCAGATTCTTTACCATCTGAGCCACCAGGGAAGCCCATTGTTGTTCTCAGACGTAGGTTTTTCCATCCCGCAGACTTCTTAATATTTTTATATAGTCAGATAACATTTCTTCTTTTGCTGTTGTGCATGCTGTTTTCTGTTGGGCGTATTATTCTGTATTATATTTTTCAAAAATGTTTTGGGGAGAATTCCCTGTATATTCTCTATCTTGCTATTGTGTGTTTAACACTTTTTTTTCCTTCTAGAGATTAGGAAATAATAAATTGTGCATTAAATTTTTCCCCTTCAATTTTCTTAATTCTCCATTTCATAATAAAACAGTATTTATTGGCCTTCCCTATTTCAGATATGAATGTTAGTGTGGTGTTTCATCCTTTCACCCTTTCCAGACTACTTTAGGTAGATTGTACACCCACATAACATGCTACAAAAATACAACTCTCTTAGGCTTAACTATAGGTTGTATTGGTTTTAGTGCTCATCCCGAGTGTATTCCTGATTACTTTCTTTAGATAGGTATATGGTATGTATCTGAGAGTGTTTTTCATGATCTGAAGACTTCTATTTTCAACTAAGGAAATTTTATTATACCTTGGAGATAATGTGGGTTAGATTTCAGACCACCGCAATAAATTGAATATCACAATAGAGTGAGTCACACAAATTGTTTGGTTTCCCAGTGCCTATAAAAGTTATATTTACACTGTATTGTTGTCTATTAAGTGTACAGTAGTATTATCTCTTAAAGAACAAAGTGCATAGCTACATTTAAAAAGACTGTTGCTAAAGAACACTAGCTATCATCTGAGCCTTTAGCAAGTCATAATTTTTTTGCTGGTGGAGGGTCTTGCCTTGATGTTAATGGATGTTTACTAATCAGGGTGGTGGTTGCTGAAGATTAAGGTGGCCTTGGCAATTTCTTAAAATAAGACAACAGTGAAATCTGCCACATTGATTCCTTTCACAAATTGTTTCCTTTCACAAATGATTTCTCTGTACTAGGCAATGCTGTTGGATAGCATTTTATCCACAGTAGAACTTCTTTTAAAATTGGAGACAACCCTTACACACTCTGCCATTGCTTTATCAACCACGTTTATGTAATACTGTAAATCCTTTGTTGTCACGTCAGCAGTGTTCACAGCATCTTCACCAGGAGGAGATTCCGTCTCAAGAAACCTCTTTTCTCATCTGTAGAAGCAACTCCTTATCTGTCAAGTTTTACCATGAAAGTGCAGCAGTTTAGTCACATTTTCAGGTTCCACTCCTAATTCTAGTTTTCTTCCTGTTTCTACCACATCTGCAGTTACTTTCTCCACTGAAGTCTTTGAACCTCTCAATGTTATGCATGAGGGTTGCAATTTACTTCCTCCAAACTTCGTTTGGTTTTGATATTTTGACGTCTTCCCATGAGTCATAAATGTTCTTAGTGGCATTTAAAATGGTAACCCCTTTCCAGATTTTCAGTTTACTTTGCCCGGATGCATCAGAGGAATCACTGTCTGTAGCTTTACAAAATGTACTTTTTAAATAATAAGGGTTGGAACTCTTACACTCTTTGATCCAAATTTAGCATAATTCTTAAGGACCCTAGGATTTTCAGAATGGTGAATGAGCCTTGACTTCAGCTGAATGTCACCAGCTGTATTAATCCCCAGCGAGAGAGTCAGTCTGTCCTTTGAAGCCAGGCTTTGACTTCTCCCCTCTTAGCTGTCAGAGTCCTAGATGACATCTTCCAGTGGAAGGCTGTCTACATTGAAAATATGTTGTTTTGTGTGGTCACCTTCAGTAATTATCTTAATTAGATCATCTAAATAACTCATTTCATCTTCTGTATCAGCTACTTCACCATGCCCTTTTATGTCAGGAGGCGACTTCTTTCCTTACACCTCCTGAACTAACCTCTGCTGGCTTCAGATGTTTCTTCTGCAGCCTCCTCACTCCTCTCAGCCTTCACAGAATTGAAGAGAGTTAGGCCTTGATCTGGATTAGACTCTGGCTTAAGGGACTGTTGTGACTGGTTTGATCTTCTATCCAAACCACTCAGACTTCCTCCACATCAGCTTTAAGGCTGTATCGCCTTCTTATTTATGTGTTCATTGGAGAAGCACTTAATTTTCTTCAAGAATTTTTCCTTTGCATCCACAGCTTGGCTAATGTTTGGTGCTGGAGATCTAGCTTTTGACATGCCTTCCTCATTCAGCTTAATCATTTCTAGTTTTTGATTTAAAGGAGACATGTGTGACTGTTGCTTTTTCTTGAAACACTTAGGAGGACACTGTTATTGTTAATTGTTATTGTTAATTGGCCTTATTTCATTATTGTTGTATCTCAGGAGGAGATGGGAATGGCTGATCAATGGAGCAGTCAGAACACACACATTTATCCATCAAGTTCACAGTCTTATTATGGGTGTGGTTCAAAGCTATTATAGTAGGAACATCAAAGGTAACTGATCACAGATCATCATAACAAATATAATGAAAAAGTTTGAACTGTTGTAAGAATTACCAAAATGTGTCACAGAGGCACAAAGTGAACAAGTGCTGTTGGAAAAATGACGGCAATAGACTTGTTTGGTGCCACAAACCTTTATTTTGTGGAAAAAAAATAAAAACGTACCTGCGAAACATAATAAAGCGAGATGTACCAGTACCTTGAATTATTGCATCATCCTATTTTTGTTAGTTCTTAGGAATGCTAGTTACTATATGTTGATCTCTGCTTTTTGTCATCCATTTTAATCACCTTTAACATTTTAATTCTTTTGTCTTACTTCTTGTTGTTCTCAGAGTTACATGAGTTTTCACTTCCATCTCTTCTGATCTTATGCAGTTCCAGTTCTATTCTTTTTTTCCCCTCTAAAATGCATGTTTTAAGTTTGTAATTGTATTTTTTCTTCTTTATAGTCTATCCAGACTATTCTCTATCCAGAGAGTCCAAATGAACCATAAGGCCAGGTCCGGCAGGTTGATTATTTTGTGTGTGATATTTTAAAATTTTTTATTAAAAATTAGTGTGTTTTGTGTTAAAATCTGATTTATAGCTTCCTAAACCAAATTTCTAGCGTATTGCAATTTCTTATTTAAATTGTTTTTCCAGACTTGGAAGAGATCTCCTGGCATCTTTTATGAGGAATAGCATTTATTCCTGGGTAAATTTAAGCAGTTTGGAGTTTTCTCAGAAGCAGTAAGTGAGAGAAGTATAGCATGTGATATGCTGCTTTCACAACTCTTCCAAGTCTTAACTTCTGTGCTCTGCTAATTTCAAAATCCCACAGTGAAAGAGCACTGTGCCATTTATTTCCACCTGTTCATATTCCATTATTTGATTATAGCCTTAGACAGGTGAGGAATGGAAAGGTCAGGATAACTCTTGTCTACCACTGTAAGCATTTCTTAACTTTTCCTTTCTGATGAACAGAATCTTGAGAGAGGGTGAATGGATAGCAACGTCCAGAGATCTTTCTCTGATCTCAAGGTTTCACCTAAGCTTTGATTTATCATTGATTTGCACACTTATATATTAGGTTAACCTCAGATAAATTTAGTAAAAGTTTTAAATATATGCTAAAATTACATATTATAATATGTAATTACAAAGTGATATATTGAGCAAGTTCCGGGAGTTGGTGTGGACAGGGAACCTTGGCATGCTGCAGTCCATGGGGCCGCAGAGAGTCAGGCATGACTGAGCAACTGAACATATGCTAAGATTTTTTTTACCTCATTGTTACTTTACATCTTTCCCATTTGAATGTACCTTATTGTGTGGAATATTACACAGTTAGGAATTGTAGTGAAGTTAGTTTTATTGAGGTTTATGCTTTTCTTTCTACAGGTCCTGCTCAGTCTGGAATTCTGTCAGATCGGGAGGTAGTCAATCTCTTTCTTCATTTCACTGTCAATCCTAAACCCCGTGTTGAATACATTGATCGACCGAGATGCTGCCTCAGAGGAAAGGAGTGTTGTATCAATAGATTCCAGCAAGTAGAGAGCCGGTGGGGCTACAGTGGCACGAGTGACCGGATCAGGTATCTGCCATATTGGAGTCTCAGGAGTGGGCAGGGCAGTGGTTAGCCTTTGACTCTCTTGTTCATATCCTGGGAGATGATTAACCAATTTTATTTTATACTTTGTTTAATACATGTCTAACTTGATACAGCAATAAGGGAGGCTTACTGGTCTCCTTACTGAATTATGAGTGAGGGAATCTTTTAGGAAACAAGTAAAGTAAGGAAGGATTGAATGGGGCTGTGAGTTTTGTAAGGATTGTCATGGTGGGGAGCTGAAGTCTAGACCTTAATTGATCAGACACTGTTTTAACAGTCTTGGGGCTACAGTTTAATACATTGAGCATTAACTCGGTTTAGTTTAAGTTTTTTCTTTGCATAGATGTTACATGGAATATATCTCAGTATACATTTATAACAATTTCGAATGGGAAAAAAATTTTTAATCTTAAAAGATGTATGCATATAATCCTTTTGGAATTTATATTTGCCCTACTGTGTTTCTTAGGCTAAATGTGAAAATAGGATATGTATCTGTTTTCATAAAACATACCTTTTGGATTTTCTCTTATTAAATGTTAATAGCACTTTGGTGTAAAACTAGAAACTAACAGCAAGTTTGTTTAAAACTAGAACTCCGAGGGGCAGAGGACTCCTATAAATATTGGGTTAAAATAGAAATAAAAATGCATTTGTGGCCTATTTAGTAGTAATTCACACAGTGAGAATACTGTATATGAAAACTTAGGGGATGAGGCCAAAGCATGACAGAGAGAATTAGCAATAATTAACTACTTTTACTAAATAGAGTAGAAATAAATTATTTAACCATTTCATCCATGAAGCTAGAAAATGAATAGCAAAAAACCATGAGAAAAGAGAAAAGAAATAGATAAACACAGAAATTAATGAATTAAAAATAGTAGAATTGCTAAATCCATAAGCTGGTTCCTGAAAAGACCAATAAAGTAAACCTCTAGCAAAGGTAATAAAGAAACTACATCTACAAATAATGGAATATAATCATATACTGAGGATGTTTTTATTTTAATTCTGGGTTTACTCTGTGCTAATAAATTGAACATCTTCATGGAATGGATCATTTTATAGGCAAATATAAATAACCAAAATTGCCTGAAGAAGAAAGCCTGACTAGACCAGTTACCATGGAAGAAATTAAAAGTTACCAAAGAACTGTCCCTTCACAAGGTGGTTTTGACAGGTGAGTTTGATCAGACCTTCAGGGAACAAATTGTTTCCTTGAACATTGACAGAAGAAAATACTTCTTGGTTAATTATTGAAGGAAGCCTAACCCTTATACAGGAGTCTAACAAGCTCAGTGATATAGAAAAGACATCCTACCTAAAATAGCTTATTGAATCTAGCAGTACCTCACAAGGATAATACTATAGAAGCAAGTAGATGTAAATCAGAAATAGGTGTGCATCAACTATACTCCAGTTTTTAAAAAAAGATAAATCAGAGTTGGAAAAATACCTCCAGTGGAGATAAATATGCAAGATCCAAGTTCTGACATCTTAAGTTTGGTTCTGCAGCTGTAAAGTTAGAGAAATTGAAGTGTTTATAACATGAAAGGCACACATATTGCTCAGGAGAAGGGTGGCCATTCCAGATAGAGAGACTTAAGAGAAGTTCCTCCTGTGGTTTCTTAGAAAGAGGACACTGAGCCATGCATTGAACGTCTTTTAAAGTAACATCCATCCAACAGTGAGTTCTGTAGGACTGTTCCTAATAAAGTCCATCAACGGAAAAGGAGTGCAAAGAAACCATAAAAGGGAAAGTTTGTTTGGAGATTGAAAGAATGGCTCAATACTAGGAAATGTGTTACTTTAACTCACCATGGTAGCAGACCAAAGAAAAATAAACAGTGTATTTGGATAGATGTCAAAAACTTTTGATAAAATTTCACCCTCAATCCAGGTATAACCATTAATAGGCTAGGTCTAGAGGAATACTTATTTTAACACAATAGACTATTGAACCCTCAAGATAGGGGTGCCTGGTAACTGCTGTTTTCAGCAGTATTCTTTTAACACTGATTGATGTAGGCATAAAGGATAAAGAAATACAGTAATTAGCACAGCATTGTAAATCAAGTATACTTCAATATAAAATAAATATTGGAAAGGAAGAGTCTTTTTCATTTTTTGCAGATAACATCTGTTAGTAGTTCTGTACTCCATCAGATCTAGTTCTCCCTCTTTTATAATAAATATTTTGTATTCCCCCTTTAGTAACCTGAAATGAAATTTATAATGTGTTTTTTCTTTTTTTCTTCTAAGAGTAACTTCGTCTTGTATATTTAGTTTTAGCTTTTTCTCTAGTTGCATCGAGCGGGAGCTACTCTCTAGTTGCAGTGCCTGGGCTTACTGCAGTGGCTTCTCTTGTTGCAGAGCACAGGCTCAGTAGTTGTGCTCGGTAGTTGTTAGTTGCTCTGCACATGTGAAATCCTCCTGGATCAGGGATTGAACGCGTTTCCCCTGCAGATTCTTTATCACTGAGCCACCAGGGAAGCCTGTGTTCCTTTTTTTTTTAAGTGGTATAATGGCTTAGTTGTAATGTAAAGGAAAATAAATATAACTGCTAGTAAAATAAAATACATGTAGGCACTTAGGCAGCAACAAAAGACAAGAAGCAATCAGACATAGTACCTGTGCACACCAGCACACAGACAGCTGCAGGTGCAGAGAACAGGATGTGGAGTGCTGCTGCCAATTATGTCATTTTCTTTAAAGGTTCTCAAGTAAAACACATTACAGTTCATCCTATTTTTCCACATTTGAGAACTCATCTACTCACTAGGATTTATTTGTAACCCCCAAATCAACAACAGTAGTGTGTTCTCAGTCATTCCCAGGAAAGATTTGAATCATTCTTAGAATTTAAGATTATACTCCACGTAAGTCGGGTATGTGTGGTGGTGTTTCATCGTGAAGTCATGTCTGACTCTTTTGCGACCCCATGGACTGTGGCCCTCCATGCTTCTTTGTCCATGGGATTTCCCAGACAAGAATACTGGAGTGGGTTACCATTTCCTTCTCCAGAGGGTTTTCTCAACCGGGGATTGAACCCTCATTTCCTGCATTGGCAGGAGCCTCCAGGGAAGCCCGGGGTGTGTATACATATTCCCCCAAGAGCGGTGGTTTAGTGTTTGCTGATTCTGTGTTTGTAAAAACTATAAAATATAACTACCACAAACAGTGAGAATTGACCAAAATTCTGCTTCCTTGATTTGAATTGTAATTATAGAAGTCAGTGAATATTAAAACTGCCATAAAAATCTTTGGTCTATAAATAAGTTTTAATTAAATTCAAGGCTCATAGTTAAAAATAGGTTTTTTATCTGCATGAATTCTGACCAGACACTTGAACTGATTGGGGTTCTTTGTTTTTGGAGCCTGTCCCAAGCATTGCAGTAAACCTGGTGGCCCTGGCTGCTTGCTAGTAGTGCTTCATAATCCTCATGAAAATTGAGCATATCTCCTTGGGGTAGAAAGCCTTTTGAGAACAAGTAGTCAACCCAGACAGCTTCAGGATCAGTAAAAATCTGTTAGAACCAATAAAAAAGAATACTGGTCAGTTACAAAATGTATATGCAAAAGCCAGTGATGTTCTCATGTTATTAAAATTCCATTACGGGGATGGATGGTGCTGGTGGTTAGCAGCAGTGTGAATGTGCTTAATACCACTGAACTAGGGACTTTAAGATACTTAAGATTGTACATTTTGTTATAAATTTTGCCACGATAAAAATTTTTAGGGAGTTCCCTGGCAGTCCAGTGGTTAGAATTTAGCACTTTCACTGCAGAGGCCCAGGTTCAATCCCTGGTCAGGGAAACTAAGATCCTGCCAGCCACACAGCACAGCCAGAAAAAAAAAAAATTTAATGTTTGAATTTTCATTTATAATAGTAAAAACAGACCCACCTGCAATAGTAACAAATAACAAAGTAGCAGAATTAAATCCTGTAGGAAATGTGCAGTGTGGTATACCACCTAAAGAACTGAAGAACTTTGGCTGAAATAAGACAGTGTCTTTCCAAACTAACCTCTGTGTTACGCAGTTCCTTATAGAGGTCGCATGTTTTTGGTAGGGAGGTGTGGGTTGGCAAAACTATTCCAAAATCAATCTGCAAAAATAAATATTTCTTCTAAGAGAGTGGTATTAATAAAATATGAAAAATATTTTAAAGCTATTATGATAGTATATATACAGAGTTCAGAAACCAACTAATGTAAATGAACATTCAGAATGTGAGGCAAGAATTAACCACTAGGAAAATAAAGTTCAGTCTTTTCTGATGCCATCTTCCAGCATTTGCATAAATTAGAATTTTAACATTAAAAAAATGAAACTGAGAAAGTGTTGGAACAGAGTGTTATAATATTATAAGGATGAGATGAGCCTTTCTAAACTTTGCATAGATTGTAATTGAACTGCAAATAAGTCAGAATGTTTAAGTCCAAAACCACCATAAAATTGAAAGATAAATGACAAATGAAACTTTCTGAAATGGATATTATTGACAAAGCATGAGCTTTCAAATCCACATGAAAAAGACACTCCTCAGCCGAGAAAAATGGGGAAAGAACATAAGTGAGATTTTCATTAAAAGAGAAAATCCAGTAGATAGTATGCATATAAGCAAATGTGCTAACTCATTAATAGTGGTGGTGGTGGTGGTTTAGTCACTAAGTCGTATCCAGCTGTTGCAACACCATGGACTGTAGCCTACCAGGTTCCTTTGTCCATGGAATTCTCTAGGCATGAGTACTAGAGTGGGTAGCCATTTCCTTCTCCAGGGGATCTTCCTGATCCAGGTATCGAACCCAGGTCTCCTGCATTGCAGACAGATTGTCTACTGACTGAGCTAAGAGGGAAGTCCAAGCTCATTAATAATCAAATATAAATAGAATTTGTCAGTCAGTTTCTCAACAGTAAAAAGATGATACTTGTTGAGAGTGAGATAGCAGTGATTTTCATTCCTTGTTGGGTTTAAAGTTTTATAATCTGCCCAGAAAGCAATTTGATAAAGTTCATCTAATGCCTAAAGAATATACCTTTTATTTTCCCCAGAAAATCTCCTTACAGCAGTTTATTCTAGGAAATAGTCAAGGCACTGTGAAATGATTTAGCTATAAGATTGTTCATCATGGCATTGTTATCTAACAACAAAAATTGCAAACAACCTAGATTATCTAAAATACAGGAATTAGTTAAATATAATGAATCAGTAATAATATTTTACCTTTTTATATGAAGTTATAAAAATATATACTGAAATGGTTTTTAAAATAGCACATGTATATCCACATAAAAAGTCTATTTTTCTGTTCTTTAAAAATAGACGTTAAAAAAATTAAAAAAAAATTAAAATAGAAGCAAAAGTCTGAAAGGGAAATGCACCAAATTAAAAATGAAGTTATCTCTAGATAGTATGTTTAGAGATGCTTTAAATTTTTCCTCTTATTTGTTTAGCTGCATTTTCTAACTTTTTAAAATAGTATATTGCTTTTTTATAATAAAAACTGTATTATAAATTTTAAAAATTTTAAGGAGAGTCTCATACTGGGAGTTTTAGTGTGATGTTTAAGAGCGTGACCTTTTGATTCATGCAGCCCTGGGGTTGTGTCCCAGCTCAGGTATGCAGTTTTGACCCAGGCAAGTTGATTTCTCTAAACCTCAGTTTCTTCAACTATAAAAACTGAGGATGATAGAAATAATACTGTTACTTAGTTTATAGAACTACTGTGACTAAAGGAAATAATTCATGTAAAGAACTGGGCTCAGTGCCTAACACAGGAAGGTCTCCTGAAGTGGTAACGGTGTGGGAGTAGTAATAGTAAACTTAAACTTGTGACTTCAGTTCTGGGAGCATGAAATGTTGAGGATAACGCCTTTATGTTATAGATTATTTCTTATTGTACAATCATTTGTGCCATTTGTGCTTGATGCTAGTTTTCATACTTTTGTAAATAGAGTGAGGTGGGTCGGTTTCTTAACTATAGTGACCAGACTGGACCTGCTCGTTGTTCTAGCGTGGAATCCCATTCTGATCCATCTGTGTAACTTGGGTCCTCTGCGCAAATCCTCCACCACCTATGCTGTTACAGCAGCCTGCTTCCTTCACAATTCTTAGCACAATTTGTAATTAATGATTTAACTCTTTGTTTACTTATCTATAATCAGTGTCCTCCACATAAGTGCAGTAGGGCCAGAGACTGTCTTGTTGACCATTGTTTCCGCAGGGCCAGGCGTAGTGCCTCCGTCTAATAGGCCCTCAGTAAGCAGTCATCCAGCCGAGGAATTGTCAAAGTTTGGGATGCTGCTGGTTGACACATCTGTGTTCATGAAGGAGATGTGCAGGCAGATGTGGACTAAAATTACCAAAACAGAAGTGGGCATGTAGGCTGAAATGCTTGACTCAAAGGTGTATAGTACAGGCAACAGATTCTAGTTAAGTTCCCATTAAGTTACTCTAGCTAGAGGTTTTTGGTAAGCAGAAGACATTTCTAAGGATGTTTAATTTTTAATAGTTTTCTTTATTATGAGTAAAGTTAGATGTGCTGAGTAACACTTTAAAAATGTATAAGCCTTTAGAACATGAATGCTTATTGAATTTTGTATGTTACTTGATATTTGGCCTCATTCCCTCAGGTTCACAGTTAACAGAAGAATCTCTATAGTTGGATTTGGTTTATATGGCTCTATTCATGGTCCCACGGATTATCAAGTGAATATACAGGTACACTTTTTTCACCTACTCTATGCCATCTGAAATATATAACAAGTGTAATTTTGCAGTAAGGTATTGTTTGATGAAATCCAAGTTTCAGTATAATTATCAAAGGCATCAGAAAGCCTACTAGTAGCATTTTAAGCCTAGAGGGTTCCTTTTTACAATTGATCTAAAATGTGTGGTTTCAGAAAATTGGGGTCCTGGGGCTCTTAAAAGAAGCATTCACTATAAGGAGATCTCCTTTGTCCAGGAACCCCTCTGTTAGCCCTTCCTATCTGCACTGGCTATCTGCAAACACCCACCTGCTTTCTTTGTGATACTTGAACTCTAGGGCATGAAACTGCCTAATTACCTATAACTCGGGTGACATCTCTGATCTCTGATGGTCTGACTGTGCCATGCCCCATTCTTAGGTCTGTTCCACCTTAGTTTTTTCAGATAAGGCATGATCACTCACCCTTGGAAGAAAGTGAAGCTCTTCTCTCCTTCCCTCTCAGTCTACCAATGTTCTCCACACTTTCCATTGCATGCCCTAGTTAATAAAATTATTTTTGAAACACATCCACATTGTACTTTTATCTACTATACACATATACCCATGCAGTAGTATACTAATTTTATACATAAATAAAAACACAAAACAAAGGGAAAAAGGAAGTAAACAATATTTCAGACTTCCATCAACAGAAAAAACTGCCCTCTCCAAAATGTTATTAATATTCTATTTTTAATAGTGAAAACATGAGTGAACTTTGTGATCAAAATGCATCATTAGTCTTCAGGACCACACGACAGTTCAAAGACCTTGTCTGATGACACCCAGAAGAGATACTTCACTTCCTCCCAAAGACTCACAAAGTAGCTCAGTCGTGTCCAACTCTTTGTGAACCTATTTACTATACAGTCCATGGAATTCTCCAGGCCAGAATACTGGAATGGGTAGCCTTTCTCTTCTCTAGGGGATCTTCCCAACCCAGGGATCAAACCCAGGTCGCCCACATTGCAGGTGGTTTCTTTACCAGCTGGGCCACAGGGGAAGCCCAAGAATACTAGAGTGGGTAGCCTATCCCTTCTCCAGTGGATCTTCCCAACCCAGGAATCGATCTGGGGTCTCCTGCATTGCAGGCGGATTCTTCACCAACTAAGCTACCAGGGAAGCCCCCTCACAAAGACACCTCATTCCAAATGGAAGAATTGCTTTATTGGCTGGGCTAATGAAATCATGCTCATTTTTAAATCCTGTCCACTAAAATCTAGTGAAATTCAGCTATAAATTTATATCATTCATATCAATTCGTTCTTATAAATCAGAAAGTTACAGTTTTAATATTTTTAACAGGTTCAAAAGCCACTGAAATTTGTTTATCTGAAAGATTTTAAAGGTTAGAAAATGAAAAATCACAGAGGACCTCTGAGGGGTATAAAGATTTTCATGATCACTCCTGGTTTTACTGTATATATTGTTGAGATCCTATCTAATAGGATCCGTAAACCCACTTAGGCAGGCTCTGTAATCTGCAGGCCTGGGAGAGCGAGGGCCCCACGATCATTCTCTATGGTTGAAGAGCCCTCTCTTCCTTCAGTATCCCTCATGTGTTACATGAGACCCCAGAGCCCTTGTTTACAAACTGAGGGAGGGCATCAAGGTTATAGGTGTACTTAGCTGATAAAATAGAAAATGAATAGAAATAGAACTTCTCTTTATGTTCTTCCACTGAGTGACTGGTCTTATGCACCCTCTAGATACATTACCAGATAGATCTCTCTGGGTTTGAATTTCAACTCTGCTATCTCCACGGTGTAACTGGGCAGATAATGTTGACCCCTGTAAGCCTCAATTTCCTTGTTTACTTTGATAGGCATAGTACCTCCATTACAATGTTCTGAGGACCAGTTGAGACGATGCCTGTAAAGTGTTTGAAACAGTCTGTTGCTATCATTGTTGCTCTTGTTTTATAATTTGATTCTCACAATAGCCTTAGGAAGAAGGCAAACAAATTTTTTCCCAAATTAAAAGATAAAACTGAGGTTCAGAGAAATGAAGTGACTTGCTCTAGGTTACATTGCCACAACCAAATCTTGTGTCTCCACTGCTTTCTTCCCGGGTGCCGGCATGTCTTTTGTTTCTTTTTAATTTTTTACTGAACTGTGATACAGTGTGGTCCCTCCATATCCTCGAGGGGTTAGTTCTAGGACCCCATGTGGTTACCAGAATCCATAGGTACTCAAGCTCCTTATATAAAATGGTGTCATACAGTCAGCCCTCCATGTCCACAGGGGCCAATTGTATATACAGCAAAGTACACTTAGTTGTAAGTGTATGACTCCATTTTCATACACTGTAGACTCACTTGTGTAACCAGGAGCCTGATGAAGGAACAGTGCGTTACAGCACCCCAGACATCCCACATGATCTTTTCTGGTCTCTCTCCCCGCCGAGGTGGCCACTGTCCCAATCTTCCACTGCATGTACTGGTTCAGCCTGTGTTCCTATTACTCTTTTTATCTGAAGTATGTAAAAGATGGCTTTGTGAGCCTTGGCTTCTGCATAAACTGCCTTTGCATGAAGACTTTTCTCTTAAAACCTGGACCTCTGACTTGAGCTTTTTAAACTCTTCTGTGGAGCCTCTCCACTTCCTGACAAAATCAATGTTTCCTGTCCTCCACTTCATCTCAAGCACAACTCTCCTACTGCGGGTGCTATTCTGAATTGTCCCTGTTTACTTGTTTTCTCATGACTAGAAGCTCCTTGAGGGTGTCTCAGTGCCTGGCACAGATTATGGGACAGACAGAATTATCATATTTTAAATATCCACATAGGATGTTACAGGAATTTCCCAGCAACAAGACAAAGGCTAGCAAGGAGTAAAGGCTCATTTCCTTCAGGTTTCTAAAATCCACACATTCTTTAACACCAGTTCCCAAGCCATGTGTCCTTTTTAGCACTTCTCTTCTACAGCCAAGGCCCAGTCATCTGACATCCTCCCATCCTCTTTGTGGTGAATGGGTTTTCTGATAGCGTGTTTCAAGCCATCTTTGGTGGTTAGAGATGGCAGAGAAAAGTGACAACAGAAAGTAGAAGCCTGCTGTGCTGTTCCTAAGGGCTTCATATTCTTTTCTAGGAAACTTTGTTTCAGTTGATGTAACTTAAATTTAACTTTTCTTTTAAAAATTACAGATCATTGAATGTGAAAAAAAACAAACACTGGGACAAAACGATACTGGATTCAGTTGTGACGGAACTGCTAACACATTCAGGGTCATGTTCAAAGAACCCATAGAAATCCTGCCCAACTTGTGCTACATGGCATGCGCAACACTCAAAGTAAGAGTCTTCCCAAATGTTCCACCTGGTGAGCTGTGGGGCCCGGGGTTTCCTCCTGCACGTTACAGAGCATGTGTTTCAGTAGCAGCTGAGAATCACTAACAATACATCATTGGTGGAAGCAGGGAAGGCAGGAAGCTGGGAGCTAAATTGTACCATGGCTTTGAGAAAAGCAGTGCCTCTCAGCACAGCTCTGCTTGGGAGGAAATGGTTAGTTCTTTATAAGAATCTAGCAGCCATTTGTTTGAGCAGGAGATTGCAAGTTTGATAGAAGATAAAACAGTTTTCTTTTTTAAACCATTTCACTGTTCTCTTAATACCCGAGCTCTGCGTTCAATATTTTTAGTCATTAATTAGCTTGTAGCAGAAACTACAGTTTTCAGTAAATGACTTGGCATAAATTTTTATACAAGAGCTATAAAGAAATAAAGTAGATCGTTAATCTAATTGAAATGCCACGTCCAGTTGAGCTTATTAAATGAAAATTACTAATGAACCATTTGCTCTCATTTAGGGTCCAGATTCCCACTATGGCACAAAAGGACTGAAGAAAGTGGTGCATGAAACACCTACTGCTAGCAAGACTGTCTTTTTCTTTTTTAGTTCTCCTGGCAATAATAATGGCACTTCAATAGAAGATGGGCAAATACCAGAAATAATATTTTACACATAATTCAGCTTTATAACATCCAGCTGAACAGTACCTAATTCAGCGTTATAATACACCTCGGCTAAACAGTACCATGCAGTCTAGTCTCAACAGCAGAAAGAACTGGTCACAAAAAAGAGTTTGAGTGTTATGAATATTTATAACTGTAAGTTGAGAGACATTTTGATTTCTTAGGTAAATAAATGTTGACTTAAATCTCTGCATGATTTAATGGGTGATTTCCATTTTCTTGTAACCTTAAGGGAAAAAAGAATAGGTTTAATTGTTTAAAAAAAAACACAGCTATTTCAGCTTTATCTTGTATGATTTCTTAGATCAGTGACTCATGTTATTTCAGCAGTTTTATAATTGAAAGATTCTTGTTTTATGTAGCTTGTTTGTGTTTTTTGTTTGTTTCTGTTTGAACTGTTTTGAAGGTTACATAAGATGAGGTAGGTCAGTATTTCCACAGAATTCCTACTAACTCAATTTTCAGAAAATGAAGAAAGCTGACTTCATCCTTGGAGTTTTGAAATATCTGGTTGTTAGCATTTGGCATATTGCTAGAAATAGGCTTAACAAATGCCTCAGAAAATTTTGAGTGCATTTATAGAAAAAATATTTCATAATAGTCTAGTAATATATAGTACAGTTTTAAATGATAAATTGAATTTGTACAAATTCACAGTAATCTGTTATGAACAGAGGATCTAAAGGTGTACTTTAAGACTGGATTCTTTATCACTTAATCTTTATCACTTAAAGTATGTATAAACTATACCCATCTCTCTGAATGAGGCATGCTGTTGAGAATTCCCAAAATTGAAATGATGATGGTGATGGTGGTGGTTCCTGGCTAAACAGACATCATCAGTTCAACATTTGGTGAATTTACACAGGAAGTTATGGAATCTTACACAGGAAGAAATGAAATGAAATACTAATATCTCTAACAACTGCTTTAATATCCAACAGAATCACACCTGCTGGAAAATACACTTTCTGAACACCTACACAGTTCTGTCCAAGAAATAAGATTTAGTATTTATGACCTCAGTGTCACAAGTGCAGCTGCCTTAGGAGGGGACGGGAAGTATATTGGCAGGATGATATTTATACACTTTTATAAAGCAAAATTTTTCTATAAATAACTTTCTTTTTCTTTCCCTTGAAAATGATTATCTCATTAAAAATGTATGTATAATTAAGCTCTAACAAATAGTTGTGGAAGATGTGCAGAAATCACAATTCTTTTTAGTATCAACTTAAAAAGAGTTTTTTCTAAATGGTAATTAGGATAAAAAAATTTCCATCCAAAGTAGTATTTCACTACTTTCATGATATTTTCATGAAGGTAGGGAGGTGTGTTGGCAGCAGAGGTCTCTTAAAACAGCTTGAGGAAAAGGGAAAATTTTCCCTATCTGGTAATATGACCTTAAGGCTGTAAACCTCAGTGAACTGGAATAACTCTGAAATAAGTCTGGTAAACTGAAGACCACACTGGTAAACTGGTCTGGTAAACCAGAAAACACTTCAGTTTTGCTGGAAAATACAACTGCAGAAAATACTTCTCCATTAAAAAGTACAGTATGCCAGAGGTAAGTTAATGTTTTTTGACGCTTGAGGTATTTCAGTTGCTTCAAGTGTGTTACACTGAATGATAATAACTGAAAGTAGTCACAGAAGGGACAAGAAATGGAACAGTTTACTGATATGGGACATCCCCTGGAATTAAAAAAAAATAAATATCTATTATCCTTTTATTTTTTGTTACTTGTCTTTTTTTTCTAAAAGTGTTTGCTGCACTGTTGTGTCTGACTCTTTGTGACCCCATGGACTGTGGCCCACCAAGCTCCTCTGTCCAGGAGATTCTCCAGGCAAGAATACTGGAATGGGTTGCCAAAGACACTATTTTGAATAAAAATTCTAGTTAATTGAGGTTTAATGTTATTTTTGTTTGTGTGTGTGTGTGTGTGTGTGTTTTCAGTTGCTCAGTAGTATCTGACTCCTTGCACACCCATAGACTGTAGCCCACCAGGCTCCTGTGTCCACGGGATTGTCCAGGCAAGAATACTGGAGTGGGTTGTCTGCTCCTCCTCCCCACCCCAGCCTGATCAGCTTATCGCAGAACAGGCCAAATTTGAGACTTTTCCCTTGTCCTTGATAATAGGTTGGAGTGAGGGGACAGAGCACAAATGCTGTGGACGTTTAAATTTTTTTAAACACTGGTGGCAAAGAATTTCTGCCCAAAGGGAGAAAGAACAGGAGAGGGTCAACCAGGCTTTCAGAATAAACAAATCTGGATTTAACAAGAGAAACTTTTTTTTTTCCCCAGCATGTCTGTGGACCGCCGTCTCTATTTGATGACCATTTGGAGATCATTTCAAGTCCATTCCATAATTGTTTTCTTGCTAAGCTTCCTTTATGCAGAAAAATGATAATACAATTAAGATGCTTTCAAAAGTCCCCAGGGAAATTAATTTGTTTACAGGATTGTGTATCATACAGTTAAACCAACAAGGAGGAACAGAGGCTTTCTCTATGCTGCACTAAAACCACTGGTCACAGGCAGTGAGGTCACAGGCAGGCGATACTCAGGGCCCCAGTGAGCTCAACAGGTGCTCTGTTTTTTGTTTTTATTTTTATTTTCTTCACCATTTTTAAAATTAATTTTTATTGGAGCACAGTTGCTTTACAGGGTTGGGCTAGTTTCTGTTGTACAACAAAACGAATCACCTATACCTATACATATGTGAAAGTATTAGTGGCTCATTCGTGTCTGACTCCGTGACCCCATGGATGTCCGGCTCCTTCATTCATGTGATTCTCCAGGCGAGAATACTCAAGTGGGTTGCCATTCCCTTCTCCAGGGAATCTTCCCAATCCAGGGATCGAACCCCAGTCTCCCGAATTGCAGGCAGACTCTACTATCTGAGCCACAAGGGAAGCCCAAAAGGAGTACGTCAAGGCTGCATATTGTCACCCTGCTTATTTAACTCATATGCAGAGTACATCATGAGAAACGCTGGGCTGGAAGAAGCACAAGCTGGAATCAAGATTGCCGGGAGAAATATCAATAACCTCAGATGTGCAGATGACACCACCCTTATGGCAGAGAGTGAAGATAAACTAAAAAAAGCCTCTTGGAAGTGAAAGAGGAGCGTGAAAAGTTGGCTTAAAGCTTAACATTCAGAAAACTAAGATCATGGCAACTGGTCCCATCACTTCATGGGAAATAGATGGGGAGACAGTGGAAACAGTGTCAGACTTTATTTTTTGGGGGCTTCAAAATCACTGCAGATGGTGATTGCAGCCATGAAATTAAAAGACGCTTACTCCTTGGAAGGAAAGTTATGACCAAACTATATAGCATATTAAAAAAACAGACATTACTTTGCCAATAAAGGTCCGTCTGGTCAAGACTATGGTTTTTCCAGTGGTCGTGTATGGATGTGAGAGTTGGACTGGGAAGAAAGCTGAGCGCCGAAAAATTGATGCTTTTGAACTATGGTGTTGGAGAAAACTCTTGAGAGTCCCTTGGACTGCAAGGAGATTGAACCAGTCCATCCTAAAGGAGATCAGTCCTGGGTGTTCATTGGAAGGACTGATGCTGAAGCTGAAACTCCAATACTTTGGCCACTTCATGCGAAGAGTTGACTCACTGGAAAAGACCCTGATGCTGGGAGGGATTGGGGGCAGGAGGAGAAGGGGACGACAGAGGATGAGATGGCTGGATGGCATCACCGACTCGATGGACATGAGTTTGAGTAAACTCCAGGAGTTGGTGATAGACAGGGAGGCCTGGTGTGCTGCGATTCATGGGGTCGCAAAGAGTCGGACATGACTGAGTGACTGAACTGAACTGAACTGATAAATATATATGCCCTTTTTTTGGATTTCCTTAACATTTACTTCACTACAGAGCATTGAGTAGAGTTCCCTGAGCTGCACAGCAGGTTATCTCATTTGTTATCTATTTTATATGGTGCTCAGTCGCTTTAGTTGTGTCCAACTCTTGCAACCCAATGAATTATAGCCCATCAGGCTCCTCTGTTCATGGGATTTCCCAGGCAAGAGTATGGAGTGGATTGCCATTTCCTTCTCCAGGGGATTTTCCTGACCCAGAGATGGAACCTGGGTCTCCTGCATTGCAGGCAGATTCTTTACCAGCCGAGCCACCCTCTATTTTATACATAGTATCAGTAGTGTGTATGTACTTAAACCGTGGCCATCCAGATGCACCCTAGAGCCTTACTTTTGAGAGTTGCTCCCACATCATCCCCACAGGGGCACTCCAGAGTCTCACCAGCTCAGGTCTCTGCTCTGGGATTTTGGTCATCTTCCCAAGAATGATGTGTGCAGCACAGACTGACACCCCTTCTGTAAGACACCCTTGCTGCATCCTTGCCTGTGCCCTCGTGAACCTCTCTCCGTTGTAAAACCATTCAGATGCTTTGTGGTACATGAGTATTGTTCTTGTAGCCTGAGGTTAACCTCAGTAACACTGAAGCAGACAGCACCTAGGAGTCAAAAATAAGTGCACTGGGACTTCCCTGGTGGTCCAGTGGTTAAGACTTCAGCTTCCACTTCAGGAGGTTCAGGCTCGATCCCTGTTCAGGGAGCTAAGATCCCACATGCCTCGTGGCCAAAAAGTCAAAACACAAAGCAGAAGCAGTGTTGTAACAAATCTAATGAAGACTTTAAAAATGGTGGTTATCATTTTAGTTGATAAGTTGTGTCCTGACTTTTGTGACCCCTTGATCTGTAGCCCACCATACTCCTCTGTCAATGGAATTTCCCAGCCAAGAATACTGGAGTGGGTTGCCGTTCTCTTCTCCAGGGGTTCTTCCCAACCCAGGGATTGAACCCAAGTCTCCTGCATTGGCAGGTGGATTCTTTACCAATGAGTCATACCAAAAAAAGAAAGTCTGTAAAAAATAAGTGCACAAAATTGAGAGATGAATCAACTCCCATAAGGGGCTTTCCTGGTAGCTTAGTGGTAAAGAATTCTTGCCTGGGAAATC